CCCCCCCCCCCCCCCCCAGAAAAAAAAAAAACCCTCACACAAAAAAGGACTTATTTAATTTTTGTATCTTGTGAGAAAATTAATCAAAGAACACTAAAAGAATGAATGTGGGATTTTATTGATGGGATTGTATTTTGAATTTAGTCTTTCAGGGGTTTTGTCTTCAAATTAATTTTTTCAGAACCACCTTGTGTTCCAGGCTGTAGTGAAAGAATACTTAAGATGCATGTTGCTGCAGTTGCCAATTAGTCATTTGGAGTTCACATGGAAACTAGTGGTGTGTGCAGCCACGGTTCTCTTCTCCCTCTCATTTCCTTTAGTACTTACTAAAGTACTTTCTGGCAAGAAGCAGCTTACTCTCATCAATTCACCCTGTAATGTCAGTCGACAGGTAACAGTTGCTTGGCCTTGCTAGGTCACCAGCTGGCAGTAGAAATGTCCTAGTTCTCTTGAGGCTAGCTCTTCTATGAACAACATTTGTGTTTAAGGGGACGAGCTGTCTCAAAAGCAATGATCAGTTGGGATATTTCGTTTTTTTCATACCAGTGGTTTCAAGGAATGCTGCCAGTCTCCCCTTGTCTCAGACATTTCATGGGCAATGAAGCAAGAAAGGATATAAAAAAGCAGCCAAGGGGCTGTTAGCTGTGGTGTCTTTACACATTTTATTTTGGCTGTTTACAAGCCTGTTTTGGGGTCGGGGTAAGGTTCCTATATATGATGTAGTTGCATGTACTATTTCTGTATCTTTGCATTGCATCTTTTCAACCAAACTGAAACAGTGATGTATCAAAAAGCAAAAATTTGTGTTTATACATTTAGCATCTATATTCAGTGTAGCTGTTACACTCGCTTGCTATTTCAGGTTATAGACTGTTCATGAAGCACTGAAATGTCTGAGATATATATACAAGAAAACTGTGCCAATTGTGGAACTATGCCAAGAATATAACAGCCTTTAAAGCTTCAGCAAGTAATTAATAAATAGCCCTAAGACAAATTGTGAAAATCTTTAAAATAATATAAATTGCGTACAACATTGATTTAGAAAAGCAGTTTAGTCGCATTCTCTCCTTTCCTTTCACAAAGCTCTAACCAAGAATCATGCAAGTCATGCATGGGCAGATTGGGAACTAGAGTGAACCTGGTCTCTTAAAATGCAGGCAATTTTTAAAAAGTGTAACAATATAATGGGTTATGAAATTGCAAGACCAGTATAGTCTTTCAAAATGTGTTTTTTAGGGCATATAAAAGTGACCCAGAACTTCAGTAATGTTTTTCAGGTAAGTAGGCATAAAACTGTAGGAAGCGTTTCTCAGTAAACTTCCGTAACTTCACCATTGTCTTGAATGAAATTTACTGATGCTGTAAGTCAGACAAGGACCTGCTTGCTGTTGTTTCCTGTAGTCCGTGATGCAACCTGCAGTGGGCAGTGGAAAGATGGCTTGAATTATAGACTGCCTTGGAGTTCCCGTGGCATATGTCATACACTGTGTGAGTTTGTCTGTATCGGCGTCTCAGAAGAACAAAAAAATGTAATATAACTTTTCAGGAGCATTTGATACTTTCTGTCTTAATGCATTTCATGTTGCACGTGTGATCTGAGAATCCAGGTTTTGAAATCAATGACAAAGAAGTCATGCTGGTAGTTGGTAACAAATGTTCTGTCATTTTTACTTAGCTAAGCAACTGCTATTACTGCTGTTGCTAGTACCAAGCAATAAATTTGGATTGCTTTTGACAACATTGCAATAATCAATATTTTCTCTTTTTTTAGCACTCTTACTTTACTGTGCCTGACATCAGAGAGCTTCCTAGTATACCTGAAAATGTGAGTACTCTAGAGAACTGTGCACTTTACCATTTCTGTTTAGTGTCAACAGCAAAATAGGTAACAATTGTTACCTCTGTTTGGCCTAGTAATAGATTATATTCTGTAAAATATTACTAGATGTTGAAGTGAACTTTAGATGGGTAATTTATAGTAAGTATTGGGCAGAAAACATTGTGTTGCTAACTGCAGAAATATATGAGTAACAGGGCTTTTGAAGTACAACATAACAGTAGAATTTAATGTTTGCCATTTTAATTGAGAAAAGATACCACATGAACAGGAAATTGACAGCAGAATTATCTTAAGCTGTAAGTCAAGATACTTATTTAAAAAATATAAAGCTTTTATTATTATCACCACTTAGCGTTAACATTCCATGATTTTGTGGTTCTAAGAAGTGAGGAAATTTAAAATACACATTTATAGTTCTAGCCTACTTAAAATTGGGAAAGAACAGTGATTTGGTAACTGTATGTAACAGTATGGTGGCATTTCGGAGAATAATAATGGAGTTAATTTGTGTGAAAATTCACTCATTACAATAAGCCTATGAAAAATTCTTGAAAGTAATCTCAAGGCAGTTTTGTGATTACCATTTGAGTGAGTACTACAAGACCTATCCTTTGCATAAAAATGCAGGATTATATTAGAAAGGAATTTAATCCGCTTTACCAAGACTTTAATTTATATCAAAAAAAAAGACAAGAATCTGTTGAGATATTTCACCTTTATAGCTGACGAATCAGAGTCATGTTTTCTTCTCGTAAGTTCCAAAGAACTACTGTTTTAAAAGAAACTTTTGCAATTAAAGGAGCAATTTTTTTCTTCTGCATCCAGATTTAGTTCTCCCCTTGCTGACCTCACACTGTTTACATAGTTTTGTTGGTTTTCTTGACATGTGAGACTGAGTAGAACATGAAACTGAAACTAAAAACTAAACTTGGGAAGTAATTGTTGGAACCTGCTGGAGAAATAATATACTGGTTTGAAATGAATTTTCTTTGGAAAAAATGTTTCAGTACAATATGTTGTTTTTATTTATTAAAGTGTCATGGCTACTTATTAGTCAAGCCAAGGATATAATCTTGATACTCGATATCTTCAGTGGAAGAGTTTGGTATTTCAAACATCTGTATTGCTAGTATTTAAGAAAGATCAAATACTGCTTTGGTATTAACTTGCCTTGTTCTTTAGGATGTTGTCAGAATTCAGATAGCATATACCCTTACTTAAAACGTTTTTTATAGATTCAGATGAACATCTAGGGTCTTTGCTTTAAAGGTGTATTATTAGCTCTAGTTGCCCAGGCAGTCTGTCTTTTCTTTGTAATAACATCTTCCTTCTGTATCACATTTACACAGTAACATTCAAGAGTTGACAATCTGCATTTGTGATTAAGAGCTGAAATGTATTAAAGATAAAGTACTAATGGACAGATTGATATGGATTGAAAAAAGCAGATCTGCTAATCGTACAGGGAGACTCTTCTGAAAGAACGACATGAGACCAGTAAAAATGATCCATTTGTTAGATGGCTTTCTGAAAATGTCAAGCATACCTGGTTTCTTTAGGGCCACTTATTCGGAGACTTTTCAAGCCTCACGAAGTTGTCTTGTATGTGTTTCAGCATACCTCAGCTTTCTAGCCAGATGATAGGTCTGTGGGAAGACAATGCTGGCATTTGCTTCTCTTAAATACTCTTTAATATGCTCCTGCTATATATCTCAGCCAAATTTCTGTGCCTGACATCTCGTTTTCTTTCTCAAACATTTTGCGGTCTGCCTTAGCACCATATACCTCAATTTATGGCATGAAAGAAAGAAAAGGGAATCATCAAGACATTTCATCTCGTTTGTGGATGATCTGTATAGCAGATAACATTTGGGGCTTTTTGTTTCTGTTTTAAAACATTGTTGCTAGCTTTTCTGTGTTGTAGACTCTTCATGCTGACGCGTATCCTGTCAGTAGATTTAACAGATGTGCTTTTTCTTCTAAGGTGCTCTATTTTTGTAGAAATATGATACATTAGGAGTGATTCAAGAGTCAATCCTGAATCTAAACTGGCTATCAAATCCTGTCCTAATCTGGACATGAAGTTACTTGTTTATAAGGTATATATTTTATGTTCATCTCTTTTGTGCTAATGATCTCAAACTTGAACAGTTTTTGTTTGATAAACCTCAAATCACCAGGAGAGCAAGGAAAGAAGTTTATTTCCATTTTGCAGGCTGGCAAATTGGAGGGCAGAGAGATAGGAGCTAGTAAAGGCAAGAAACCGGTGGCAGGGTTTAAAAGTAGATCATCTGCCTTGGGCCTGCTTTAACTGATAGGGAAGAGCTTAATAACACAGTACATAGTAAAGGCTTTAGGAAGTATAGCTGTATTTATGCTCGGTTGATTATGTCTGGTGGTGATGTTTGCTTTATATTCGAAGGTATGAGTCAGCTTCCCAAAACATTTGAGCAGGAGGCATGATGAATGCTCGTGAATCACAGGCTGTTATAAAAGCAGAGGCCTTGGGCCAGAAGGAGTTGGGAACCCTTTGAAAGCTGAACGCTGAGCCTGCATAGGAGGGAGTGCCATGTGATGCAAAAAACCATCCTCTTTGAATCATTGGGTGGTGCTGATGTGCCTCAGAGGGAATGGGACTGTTTCAGTGTAGGTATTCTGTGCAGCGATGTGACTGTGAAGGATGGACTCCGCAGTGTCTGGGGTGAATGAGGGCGCCTCTTGGAACAGAAGTGGAAGAACATTTCATTCAGTTAACAAATATATATGCCCATATACATCTATAGATACACACCCAAATTTAAAAAGCTAGAGCTCATTGTAGGAAAGGAAAATACTAGAAATCAAACCCATTGGTCTAACTGTTGTTGCAGTTGAGTGTCTTCTGTTTCTCAGGCATTTCATTTGTTTTTTTCTAATAAGCATTGTGTAATTTCTTATGATGATTTTATCTATCTGTTAATGCAACTTTCATGTAGAATTGAAGCATATTAGGGAACAATACAAGGACATTAAATGAGCATAAATCTTCATGGATTTTAATCAATTGGCCTGATTTATTCAAAATTCTACATACCTTATCAGTAATTACACTTTAAATCCCATATTAGCAAAAGTTTTAGTAGTGCCAGACTTTGAAGTTGTATGTAGTGATTAATGGAGAGCCTCATAAAACTCTTATTTGGAATGTTAACAAACCTCTTGGAATTATCTGACTTTGTGTCAGATCAATATGTTTAATGAGTCACGAAAACGTTTAGCACAGACACTTTTATGTAACAGCTAAGCATTCACTTTTTCAAAAGATTTAAGTTATATGAAAGATTTGTAAATGCATTGTGACTTCAGAAATAAATTGAGTTCATTGCAGGAAATACAAATACAGTGCAAGACTAGTACAAAGACTAGTGCATTTCCTAGTAGTATCTGTTGTGTTTCAGAAATAGCGGGTAAGTTAGCAGTCTGAAATGATGACATTTTCTTGGTGATGATATTCCAGTGTATTTTTGTACCACCAAGTCCTAGATTTCAGAATGCCCAATTTTTCACTCATCATAACGTATGACTTTTGCTACCTGTTTGTTTGGTTTTTTTACCCAACCCCCCTTTTTATTTCTATATTTACACCATTTGATAAAGTGTATTGTCTTCATTATTCAGACCACAGCATGGCATTATACGAGAGTGTTAGCTGCATACCAGATTACCTAACCCATGTTAGATTTTTGAATGTGTGATATTTCAAAGAAAATAAATTTCTAAATAAGATGAGGGATTTCCAGTAGGAGGATGGAGAAGGAAACCTGACTCAATATTATTGACCTGTTCTAATAGGAAATTTACTGGAGTCTTGTAACTGAAGCTGTTCAGGAGGAGGCTAAAAGTAGTGAACTGTAATCCATGTTACTATGTTTGAGTTTCACTCTTTGCAGAGGAGAGAGCTCATTGGTTTGTTCTTTCAGTGAGAAATTCTTCATTAGATGATGGAGGAAGAGAAGTACACGAATATTTTTTTCTTTGTCTCTAAAGTCAGTGTCCATGTGCATTTACTGATAATAGATAGCAAATGATCAAATAGATGGTTGATCTAGGAATGAACTTTCAAAGGAGCACAAGGGAATTTTGTGGCACTTAGTGAGTTTTGAGAGGAGTGAGGATACCTGTTCCCATATTTTAATTTGAAAATCCCACTTTTTACTCTCCCGAGAAAGGTTTAAATCGTAGAAAACAAAATATACAACCATTATACTGCAAATTGGAACGTGTTCATTTGTATTTATTTAACTCATTCATGGTTTTGTCACTTACGAGACATGTCTTTCAAAATACATGTGTAAGTCCCAATTTCATCATCAAAGATGACAGGTTTCTTATAAATAAAACTTAGAGCTAACACGTGAGTTTCCTTAGTATCAATACATTACCATACAGCCCACATGCTTCGCAGGTGTCATTGGCAAATTTCTGAGAGCAGGGAAGACTAAAACCTTATAAATCTTTCCATCTGAAGGTACATTTGTGTGTCAAAGCCACTGTTTTGCTACAATAAACTTGATGAAAGAATGATTGAAAAGCAAGTCCCTGTGTCTATTTTCCTCTCGCTAGTGGATAGAGTTGCCTTACAAACACATCCGTGAAACATGCATATTTGCATCTTCCGGCAGAGTGTAGGGATTACGTGCTCCTTTTGCCATGCCCCTGATTTGGGTGGCATCAAAGGGAGTTCAGTGCTACTTAAAAATTCTTTTAATTCACACTGTTTGCAGTAATTGTGTCGTCATGCACTGTGTTTTGGCGTCGTGGAAAGATGGGTGAGAGGGGGAAGAAGAGCTGTAGAGAAGACAGCTTATGTTTAGACAAAAATATCGTGCTAATCAGCACAGATGGGATGAGAAATACAGAAAAAGTACATGTTAGTTTAATAGGTTTTTGGCAAAATGTGTTGGCTTTCTTTTTTAATTCTTTGAATATACCTGTCTGTGACTATAGCTTTTCTGTAGCAAAAGACCTGAATGATTATCTTATATTAACATGTTTGAAGCTAACCATAATGAGCTTTGTCTTTATCTATCTACATACTGGTACAAAAGTCTTCTAAATACAATGCTTAATTTTTCTTTAGTTCTTTGTGTTTGGATGGCAAGCTGTGGAACATATTTTTGCACAGTATGAAGCATCTTGGCAGACTTCTCAGGCCAAGTATTGGTGGGTTTAGAGTTATCTTTGGATCTGTCAAAAGTGCTAATAGGCTTTGTTGAGCTTCTTTAAGTTTCTAAATGATATTTGCTTTTTGCTTTTCTGCACTTTTTTTATTTAACGATGATTAAGATTGCACTTGAATTCATGACTAATCTAATTTTGCTCTCGTGCTTTTTGTGTAAGATTGTCTTTATTGTATAGCAATCGTTCCATATCTGTAAGAAGTGATTTGGAAACAGTTTCCCTAATTCAGCATTTTTGGGTGTATTACTTTTTCCTCCACCACTCCTCCTTTTTTTTTGATTTCCAGATTTTGAGAAGTGAAAATATCCTCTACAGGCAAAACCCCTTTTTTTTGCTTGCCTGGCACTGTAAAAGCCCTTCATTCTAGGAGAACATAATACATTTTGATCAAGTTACCTACGTGGTGGCTTTCTAGTTTTGATAGTAAAGATCTTAGGATCACATTCTGCTGTTTATTAGAAGACATCTTAAATATTTAGTAAATGATACATGATTCATGCCGCTGCAGCATGTGCACAGGGCAATTACATTGGTGATGATGAATGGATGATGTTGCTGGCTGATGGGATAATGTGGGGGATGACGTGACCGTAGCCTCTTGGGCAGCTTGCTCTGTTTTCTTTGAACTTCAGTTATTTACAATAATTTTTACAGAGGTACTTTTTAATATTCTGAGCAGCAAAAGCATGGAAGAAACCTGTGTTGCCTAGGAAGTGTGTATGTAAAGTTTCAGCAGTGTTACTTGCTTGTGTCTTGGGTTTTCTATCTATACTTTAAAGGCAGACTGCAAATGTGCTTTGGTTACAGTATTCTTATACTGCAATTAATTTTATTTATACTATATAAACATACTGATCACTGAAGTAAAATTGGGATGTTTGAATCCTGCCTCTTTATCAGAGATGGGCATCCACTGAAATTTTCAGAGAGAGTGAATTCTCTGTCTCCTTCCCCAGTTTCCCCAGCCCCCCAGGGAAGTGCTTTGTGTCTTCCACCAAGGGGAAACCTGTGTCTGAGTGCACAAAGTGAGGAGTTCAGACAACCTGTAACTGTTTTTAGCTTGTGTGTTAAAATGGCCACGTGTATTTCCAATTATCAGAATCATTCTTGTATAGACTGAGCTTAAATTTGAATTTGTCATATTAGAATTGTCCTCTAAGAGAGCTGTTTTATTGTTGGGTTGTGAGATTTTTTTTTTGGTACTTTATCAGTCAGCTTTGAAGTTTCCATAAAAGTGACAGGACATATTTTTTTCTCAGAGAACTATCTTGTATTTAAGAAGCTGTATGTGAAACATCATCAATTTTGTTATTTCAAGACCTAGCTCCCCAAAAGTTAGTGGAAAGATATTGCAATTAAAAAGTACTCTTGACATAAGATGACATACTGCTTTCTTTCATTAAGCCGCATACTGGATGCAATGTAATAGGAGAATGAAATCTGGTTATTTTTTTTTTAAGGACACTGTTTTTTGTAATATCATGAATCAAAAATTATTTTCTCTCTTCCCAGAGAAATCTGACAGAGTATTTTGTAGCAGTTGACGTCAACAACATGCTGCATCTCTATGCCAGTATGCTGTATGAACGCCGCATCCTCATTTGTTGTAGTAAGCTGAGCACTGTAAGTAAAATGCAGAATGATTTCTTCTATTCACAGTACTTTTTTTAAAAGGATGGTCATATGTAGGAAATTATCTGATGATCTCCAGGTTCCCCTTCCAGCCTCAGCTATGCAACCTCAACTCAACTCTGTGGTTCTGTGTGATGATTTTACTGAACTTCTGTTGGCCTCTAATGTTCAAATGAAAAGGGTTTTTTGGATACAGGAGTTCTTGGGGTTGTTCGGTACGTAAAGGTACAAATATTTATGCTGTAGTGAAGTCCCTTTTTCATAATTTACTTGATTGGCGGGGGGCGGGAGGGAGATTCTGTCAAATGAGTGTTCCAGTGACCTTCTCTGGATGGACCAAAGGAGTGGGCTAAAATACATTGACAGTCATGTTTTTGCAGTTTTGTTTGATAAGGTGTAGTCTTAATGCTACTTAGGGTCTATCAAGGGTCTGAGAGATGAAAGCTACTGAATACTCTAGAGTACTTTCTTCTAAAAATGGCTGGGCATCAAAACAAGCACACAGCTTGATTTAATTCAAAGTTTTGTGTTTATCAGTCAATAAGATTGTGATTTTCTTTATAAAAGAAAATGTTAAGTTTTCATTCTGTTTGCTCTGTAAATGCATATTGATTGCTTTCCTTTATGAATGACGAGCACAAGATGGTTTAACTAATTTTGCTTTCTAGTGTTATGGACTAATACTTGAATGGTCCTTTCTGAACTACAAGCTTCCATTTCCATTTTGTATGGTAATAACTAGTCTCTTACTGTATGAGCATAACCTACTTTGTGTTTGAGATTAGAACTGCTTCATGGAATTGTAAATACTATGGAAGGCTGAAATTATGTACATAAAATCAGGTAAGGATGGTCTGTCAATACAGCGCAGAAAAATGAGAGAGTAAGGCTTCATACTTAATCTCAGAATAACTATTACGGTATCATTTTGAAAGGTAAGTGAAACTAGGAGAATTAGAGTAATCTCTGGGACCTATTAATATTTATCAAATGTTTACAATCAATCCCATGTTTAACTGAAAGAATTTTAAGTATTATAAAGTTTAATACCATAGAAAACTTGTAAAATCGTAACTGTTATATCTGCCAAGTGTTCTATGTCCTCCCTACTAAAATAAGGAAAAATATATCCAGGCCTGGTAATTGAATAAAATGAAAAAGAGAGGTGTTTATTTCAGAAACCTGAAGAATGAAAAGAATAGTAAATTATCAGAGAGGAGGAAAGAAGGGAACGGCTATCCAAAGCATTTCAAAATTTGTGTGGTCGGTTGGTTTAATCTCTCCTTTTGTGACAGAGCCTGGGAAGAAGAATTACTTACCTGTCACTTTGCCTTCCTTAATGAGCCATTTCACAAGTAGGGTTGTGTTTTCTTTCCCATCTTTCTGCTATTTCTCTTGCTTTTGCTTCTGTCCAAGATAAAAGCATGTCTGGTTTCTTGGTAGGGAGGGGTATTCATACTGTGTGTTCTTATCTTACAACTTTATATATAAACTGCTCCAAGATTGGAGTGACAGTGTAAGACAGGTTTGAAGTGTTGGGCCAGAGCCAGTGATTCCTTGCCTGCACGCTCTGCTCTGCGTGTTCCAGCAGTAGGAACAAGCTGCATTATTTTATTTCAAACTGTGCTCAGCGGAAGCCAAGACCTTGTAACTGGAAACGTACCAAACTGAGAATTCTCAAAGTAAAGTGAGGGTGCTGTGGTGGTGAGGGGGATTGGTTTCTTTGTTTGTATTTCTTAGTTTTTTAACAAAAAAGTGGAAGGGGCCTATGTGGGGTTGATTTCTTTAAACTTTGAGAGGCATGACACACTTCATACTTAAGGCTTGAATTTAGTATCGGGTAAGAGAGAAAATTAAACAGTCCTGGATATAAAGTCTTTTATGGTGGGATGAATTCTGTGCTGTAATGTAATACATCATATCAGTCATTATTAGCTATTTTATAAACCATGTGTACTGAACCTATGGAGGAATTATTTCTGTTTTCCTGGATTTATTTTTTTTCCCTACAAAATGAAGCTCAAATAGTTTCTCAAAATGTTAAAGCAATTATTCATGTTAAATTTCTTTATGTATTTGGTGATCTAACTACTCATGAAAAGCCAGATATGAACCAAAATGCATAAAAACCACCTGTGCTTGGCAAAAGCCCACCTGCTGGGGGAAGCATGCTGTTGCAAAAATGAAACAAGAGTTTTCCTTGCATCCAGTATTCTCTCTTCCATCATAACTTGCTCATGCAACTCTGCCTCAATAAGGTATGTTAACTCTTTGTGATAAGGGCAGCAGCAGGTTGTCTCTCATTATAAAAAGGTGGCTTACATGAAGCCTGATGACTCTTTAAAGACTTAAACTTCTGAATTTCTGTGATGTTTCTGTTTGGCTCCATCATACTGAGGTGATTTTCTTTACGTAATTTTTCTGTTATTTTTTGAGTGTTAGTACAAAGCAAAAAATACCATTCTGACATGGATACTCTTTTGTTCCTGGGAGTTGAGAGCTTGCCATGTCGCTGCTTCTGTGTCACGGAGAGCTCTGATACACAACCGCGCATTCCCTGGTTGGTTTCTGACATGCCTTGGGGCTCTGAGGATAAGGAAATGGTGGTCTTGGGAAAAGGCAACATATGATTAATACCACTCACCAAGTGGCCTTGTGATACAACATAGCTAAGAGCTTGCACGGTTTTTGTTCTGTAGCAGTCTTACAACTACTGTTTTAAATGTACAAGCTCTTCTTTCCCAAAAGCTCTATTGCTGTCCTTATAACCTGCCGATATAGGTCTTGGCCTTCACAGGCAGCCTTTGCCCTGCTTTGGCTGCTTAATTCTTATGTAGCTCAGTCTTAAGCTTTCTACTTTGCTTTTAGCCCTGAGTAATGCAGAAAAAATGATCTTACAAACACACAAAAGGTGGTCATTTTTTCCGGTATATATTGCGCATTTGTAGCCATGTGCTGCATCTGTAAAACTGTGCAATGTATAAGGATCAGGAGAGGGAGAGTAAAATGTTCTGGAAAATGGTCTATTGTAATTCAACAGCAGTGTGTAACTTTTATATGTGTGACAAAATCCCATTGATTTAATTTGCTCAAATAAACCTCTTAGAGTATTAAATATAAAACTGTGAAAAGTGAATTAGTGAATCAGTGTCTTTCCTACATAGCTATCTTTTTACATTCTCTGGCAACAGCTGCAGGAAGCTGAGGTGGTGGAACTAATCTTATTTCAAAATGCTGGATTCCTATAGTTTTGACAGTTGGGCATTTCTCAGGCTGCCTTATTATTAAGTGCTTGTTTTCTGTATGGCAATCACTAATCAGGTGAGGTCTCCAGCAAATATGCTATTTCTTTTTTATGAGCCCTTGTCTTGGCAGAGTTGAAGGACAGTACTGGTGCTTACCCATGGTAGTATGTTATTTGAATTCATGCCAGATAGCAAGGTGGGAGTACATCTCAAAAATAAGTGACAGGTTCTGCTCAGATGTCTGCAGTGTTGAGCATTATGTCTGTTTAATCTTTTCTTGCTGAGTTTTAAAATCAATGGGAGGGGGGCTTGGAAGGGGCCTCCTTGGATTACTGAGTTCCCTCTACAGCGGCAACCATGTTATATAATAATGCCAGGAAATAATCCATTTGATCCTCATAGAAGCAATTTTTAAGTAAGAATTAAATTTTTAAACAGTATTTTTTCCAGACATCTTTTTGATTTGGAGAACAGAAACAGAAAACATAAAGGATTTAGGAATATAGAGGAAAAACTACAGTGGGAAAGTATGCCCTTTTTTTCTGATGTGTATTTTGGAACTAGGCTATGCCTTTCATCTAATCTGTGAGAGAGGAGCATCTTCTCCAGTAGGAATAATATAAATATAAGTTGAAATACAGTGGGATAGGGATAAATCTTTAGTATTTCACAAGTCAAAAATATAGAATAAATTAAAGATTTTACAGCTCCTAACTTTTGCTTTACTTAGTGTCCCAACATACTAATATTTCCTTCCCATATGGACCATAATGTTCACCTGCTAATAAAGAGCTTTCTTATTGAGAAACACTGACCAGATGTTTGTACAGATACTTGCTGTATCCTGTCTGCTTCTAAAGATGCTCTTTCCTTAGGACAGTTTTTCAGATCTGGTTTAACTTCTTGCGTGTTTGCACTTATGGAAACACGTTAGCAGCACTGGGATGCTTTTGAGCGTTGTGGACCCTGTTGTTACAATGCTTGCCAAATCAAGCAGGGCTAAGGTGAGGAGTGACTCTGTAGCTTTCATGGGAGACAGAAATGAAAATCTAAGGGATTTAATCTAAGAGGGTCAGACAAGATTTTGTCTCCAGATTTTATCATTATTTCTTGAGAGAGTTAATGAAATTGTGGAGATTCTGAAGCGGGTGTCAAGATGAATAAAGATGAAACAGTACTATTTGTGCAGATGAATGTCACTAATTCAAGAAGATTGGTTCAATATGGTAGAGAATTGTAAAGGATGTAGGCCAAGAGATGGGCATGATAGACAAGACAGAAACCAGGGATGCAAACAGATTTTGTTTGCAGCCCTAGTAAGTGGGACAACTGTATGACAGTGAGCAACTTTCTGTGTAGAGAAGCTTCATTGCTGCACACCAAAATGCAGCTGCTCAAGTCTCAAGAAAGTAAAATCAGAATAGGTTCTGGAAAAAGAAACACAAGAAGAGATATGAATCTGAAGAATTAGATCTGATTTCAGAAATTTGTGTTTGGAGTTGAAAGTTAGGCGTGATAGCATTCTCCCTTAAAGAAACGACAGTTCTCTACGCTATATTTATATGAAAAAACTTGAAACCAGTCACAATGAGGACTAGAACTAGTGAATGCATAAACAAGTGCTACTGGGGAAGAGTAAATACGACCTTTGCAAAAGAAATCCAATCTTAAATATCTTTAAAAATCTAGATAAGATTGAACAATATTGGATTCTTATTAAAGACATTTTCATGACATAGGAGAGTTTTTATCCTCTTCAGGGTAAACAACTGGCTAAAATGTTGAGGAGAAAAGGGTGAGAAAAATTGTTGGTTTTTCTGATCCTGGAAGTTGCTAAGCAGTCCCAGCAGTGCTCTGTTGTGGAACCTGTTAAATGTCCTCTTGAAAAACAATTTTTAAAAAGGGGAGAAAATGTTGTAGCAGTCATTTTGTGCATAGCATGGATAAATGTAAAATGATGCTTATGGGAGAAAACATTTCTAACCATGTAAGCAGTCATGGTCTGAATAACTGAAGTAATTATTACCACTCAGAAAGAGATACTGGAGTTTTTTTTTAAAGAGAGATATCTATGAAAATGTCAGCTTATTACTCAGTTGAAGGCGTAGAAGCCAAGAAATTATTATGAAGGGAGTAGAGAACAAAAAAGAGGGCATAATGCCACTAGGTATGTTCATGGCTTGCCCACATTGTGAATATTGCATGAATTCTTACCTACTCCAACTAAAAAAAGATAAAGTAAAACACCAAAAAGTACAGAGAAGGGTAACAAGAACAAGCAAATATAAAAGATAATCTCTCAATTAGGGAAAGCAGAGTAGATAGAGTTCTTCACTCAGTCCACTCAGCCTGGTAAAGATACTAAGGAAGCAGGGAACTTGATAGAAATATAGAAAATCATGTGTGGCCCTTAGAAGATGATTTTTTCATTTATTGTCTCAATAATGCTCAAAACTCAGAGCACACATTAGAACTGTGAGGGAACAGGCTAAAAATGAAGAGACAAGGCAGCACTTCTCAGTGTGTTTGTTAGAATTCATTGGCACATGAAGTGTGAGCTGCAAGCTGGTGGGGATTGAGAAAATGGGCAATACCACTTTTATTGATGAGTGTATTGATCAGTGGTTTTAGTAATTTGTGTTGACCACTGTTGGACACAATACTGGGAGAAAAGGGATTTTTGGTCTGACTTAGGAGGCCATTCTTTTTCTTAGGTTTTCCTTGATTAGGTGATAGGGATAATTGGAACTCAAAAGCATTATTAAACAGACAGATTATTCATGTATTTTAGCCACAATAACAACCTCTCTCAACTAGGTACAAGGTATAGCCTAAAATTCTGGCTTTTCAACTTGAGGGGGTTTTATGTCTGAAATGTTTTCATTAAAGTCCTGTATGGGTTTACACCTGGCATACTGGGTCTTAAGTTCTAAATGATTTTTAAAAATCTGTGTCTATATTGAGCTGTAAATTGCAAAGTATATTTTGCTTCATCTTTGTAGTCACTTTCTGCTTTTGAAAAACACTGTCTTGCAAATCTTATACCTCACTGTGGTTCTTACCTGAACCACACTGCAGACAAGCACAGTAATTCTCCCCAAAAATCCATGGTCCTTGGTGCGTTCTCATTGCTTATCCAGATCTGTATTTTTTGGAGGCTTAAAAATAACACATAAAATATGTGCCTGTCTTCCATCTTCTTGCCTAATGACCTGCATTTTAATCAGAAAACCGGGTACTGTTACTTGCAGAAGCTGCATTGGAATTACATAAAGGCTTTAGCATTGAGCATAAGCCAAACTACATCCCGAGTTGTAGCCGATTTTCCCTGACATGGAGCCTTAAGAGACTGTGTTAGCTTATCTAGACCGTTTTCTTTACTAGTCATGGGTTCCCTATGAAGAGGTATATAATTCAGTAGTCTGTCTTAATGGAAATTAAGATAATGAGGACCATCTATTTTATTTTTTAAGGTTACACCACATCTAACTGAATTAGGATTAATGTCACAATTTGTCTTTGCTTAGTTTCATCTCGCACAGCTTCAGACCACCACAAGGACCCTCAGTCCTTTAGAATTTGTCTTTTTGGTATTTGTAAGCAGTGTTCTTCCTCCTTCCTATTGTCCAGACAGGCATTGTATGCTTGATTTCATCATACCTTCAAATAACTGGTAGGATTTTGTTGGGTGTTGTTCTCAAAATGTCTCACAAGTGAAACACATTGTAGTACTTGTGCTGGGTATCATTTGAGATTACAAGTCGCTCTAAACTGCAAAACACTGTCAGGGTGGATGTCATTGCCTGTCACCTCTTAGTCTCTTCCTTGTATGTGTCTCTGTGTATGAGTGTTCTGATTTATTTATTAATTTTCTGTTTTCCCAAGTGTGTGTGTGTGTTTATATCCTCTTCTTACGGTACTTTGACCATAGCTTTTGCTGAGATTTCCTAATTGAGGATTACCACCTTCTCCATTGTAATATCCTTAGTGAAAGTGACAAATATCCTCCTTATCTTCTTTTCCAAATTATTAATTATCATTTGAAATAGGATTGAGAGACATAATTTCCTCCAAAGCTCTGTGAGGATTCTCCCCATGGCTTGACTGGCACTTGTGTTTGCTGTTCGGGATCTTTTTCATTCAGTAGCTGCCAGCATCAAAACTGTTCTGAATGAGTTTTTAACAATGTAACTGAGAAATTCAATGGATCAAATGATTTGGTGAAGGGCAAGTAGATAAAAATCCCTTTTAAATATTAAAAATTTAATCACTAAGTTTAGTATGATGTATTCCTAAGAAACGTATGCCACATTTTTTTGGTTTGTGTTACAATTTCAGTGCAGTTTTATGATATTTAATGAATGGTAATTACTAGGATTGAAGGATTTGCTTTTACTGCTTTTTAGTTCCCTTTGTGTTTTCATTTCCATATTTCTGTTGCTTTTATAAAACACTGAGCGTTGTTTTCAGGTTTTGTTCATTGAGTGAATCATGTTCTCAGCTGTTTACAAAGTCAGTCAAATGATGACCACCATAAACCAGTCGTGCTTCACCCACCAATACCCTTTTTTTTAACAAGAGCACTATGTATTTTCTAATAAAGCATGTTGATATGAAAGGAGAATTGATTCTTCACTTTTTTTCTTCTAACTTTACCTTTTTAAGCTTGGTTTTTCTCTTATTTATGATCCTGTTTTAATATGTGTTTTTCAGTTAACTGCCTGCATTCATGGGTCTGCAGCTATGCTCTACCCGATGTTCTGGCAGCATGTTTATATTCCTGTTCTACCCCCACATCTATTGGACTACTGTTGGTAAGGCTATATATATGTGTCTATGTATATATATTATATAGATGTATATATATCTAGATTCACAGCAGTTTTCACATTTCTGTATAGTAAGTCTTAAGTCCTCTTAGGATGCAACTGTTACTCTAAAAATATATAGGCATATTAAGGAAGCAACCAAGCTAGTAAGAAATAAAATTTATTTTTATGTCAAGATATAATTGTCTATCAGTATGTTGAAATACTCTAATATGAGTGGTTACTATGGAATGATGCAACTTAGTTCTTATGTAATTAAAATCTGTTTTCAGCATATCTGTGTTAAGTGTTAAAAGTCAAATTAAGACTCCAACAGTACAGGATACAGTGGAGAAGATACTCTCATTTTTCTGCTTTCCTGAACTTCTGTTGGGGGTGAGGGAAAGCCATTCATTTTCCTTCAGTGATGTTTTATTATCAGCGTGTGTTTAAAACATAATATTTACCTTATTTAGGGAAACAAATATAAACCTTTCAAAAACTTACTCATTATCATGATGTGGCAAACTTCGGCACAGCCCGTGAGCAACCTCGTATAATGTCAAAGCTGGCTCTGTTTCGACTGGGAGCTCGGACCGGTTGCCCTCCTGAGGTTCCTTCCAACCTATTCTGTAATTGCACACTGTCCAGGTGGCCTAAGAAGCCTACTTATTCACTGTTGGGGTCTGCAGATTAGCGTGTCATTAGGCATATGTCTCAGGTTCTGTGGTTAATAGTTCAGAAGCCTGTCTGCAGTGCCCCTCAAACAATTTCTCAGTTTTTACTTTCTTTTCTGGTGCAAAGTCAGACAGTTTAGCCTAATCAGCCATAACATCATCTCTCCTGTTTGCTGTGCGCAGAAGTGGTGGATGAGCACCCTGAGTAATTAACAAAGAGGAAGTTTAAGGTGCTGCTCCTTTTAGTTGCTCAGCTGTTAGTTACTACTTCCCGCACTCAGTTTGTGTGACTTGCCCTCCCTGGTTTTTTTTGCCTTCCCTCTGTGTACTTAGCAGGGAGATGAAGTTTGCCCAGAAAGGGTGGCCTCACCTTAGGCTTCCTAGAGAAGTTGAACTTTCAAGCCCTGTTAGTGAGTAAATTGTTGCCTGGGCATACGGGGATGGAATTAGTAAGGCCAAAGCTTGGCTGGAGTTAAACTGAGGGACATAAAAGGGTAACGAGAGGCTTCTACAGGCTTGGAAGTAAAAGGAAAGCACAAGGAAAACGTGGACCTGCTGCTGCGTGCTCACGTAGTCAAGTGATAAAGGACACAGAAGAGGCTGAGGGACTTGGTGCCTTTGTCTTTACTGGCAAGGTCTACTGGCTCACCTTCTGCATCTCTCTGTGTGACAGAAATGTTTGTGGGAGCGTGGTGCTTAAGGCACTTTTGGGAATGATATGAAACCATAGAAACAGGCTCCCTCTGCCCCCTAGCATTTTAAAAAGTCCTTCTCAGAAAAAAGCAAAGTTAAACTTACTGTGTCATATGATACCATATTTTAAGTGTGGCTCTTAGTGTGGAGGGTGACTCTTTGGAGTTTGTTTTTTTTTTAACTGTGATAGTATTCTGTGTGACGTTTTCTCTGCATTTAAGCAAGAGTAAGGGACCAGCCAGGATAACTAGCATTTTAAAGTGAAGTGCCAGGAACTGAAACATACAGATTTAAAGGAAGCTTGTTCCTCTGCAGGTGATTTAAATGTTAAGTATGTACCTATGTTGAGGATACATGGAAGGGAATATAAAAACTGTTATCTCCTGTAGAAACAAACCTTCAATTTACTGGCTGCGCAGGCAGGGCAGATCCTAGTCATTTGCACTGCCAGCGGGTGCCCTTGCTCGGCATAATGGGCTTCGCATGTGTAATTAACACATGAAGGCTGCTGCTGCCAGCTTTTCCTTCAGGTACATGCTGCTAGGAGTTTTCAGGACAACGATGTGGACCACAAGAGGCTTTTACAGTGGGTTTGAAGATTAGGTATTCATCGACTTTCTGACAAAGACATGGTAAGAGGGGCTAAGTCCAGATCCCGCAGTTGGGAGCAGAAGTGTGCAAAAAGCGAACACTTGGGCAGTGTCCCCAAGGAAATAAAGACACAAGTCATTGAGCACTACTGAATGAATTCTTTCATGGCATAACACCCTGGCCATATAACGAATGAGCCAGCTAGTGTGTGAAAAGTATGGTTTTAAAATGTATAATTATTAGGCAGATTGTAATTGCATGCTCACAAGTACAACAACTGATTGCCTTAGCCAGATATGAACTTTAATTGGCGAGGTAGCTACACACGCTGTAATTGTTTGCATAAGTCAATTTAGCAACAATTTATGTGCCGTAAATATATTTCTCAAAATATAACCATATATTTTGTAACCATGTGAACTTAGATATGTCATTTCTGCCTCGGAGGACTGAGAAATCGGCTCCGTGCTCTCTGCTTTAAGGCAGTATTATTGCTTATTGGTATCTGCCTCTTAAGGGAAATGACCTGAGATTCTTTGAAATAAGAGTTGAATTTAATTTTGATTGTTGCCTGATTATTTCTTTTGCAAATATGACATAAGAATTTTAAAGAGCTGAAATGGAAACAAAATTTAAGGTAATGAGAATTCTTCAGTCCTTGTGAATACAGAATATCATGTTTATTCAGTTGACTGTGTCCATTTATTGACTGCCATATGACACTTTTGAATCTCCTCCTGCTCTTTTGAAAATCACAGAAGGGTACATAGACTGTATTACTTGTGATCTTTGAAAGTTTTTTTTAAAAAGTATATTCCACCTGTGATTATTTGCTTTTAATTGTTTGAGTTGCAGTGGAAACTTTTCGTGTAAAGGAAACTTCTGAGGTCCTGACTTTATATGCTGACAGCTCCATGATTGTGAAATTTGAAATTTGTTGTATTTCCTGGGGAGGGAAGAGGGACACAACAACCATTGGATCTTATCAGAGCTACAAAAAGGTAGAGTAGCTGTCTGTGCAGAGAGCAAACGGGTAGAGTAACTAACTCTTCTGCTGTGGCTGAAAGATCCTTTTGGCCAACTTCACGTACGGGAAACTTCAGGCTCGATGTGGAGAGTTCCCTTTAGCTGTTGAGAGAAGTGAGCTTCCCTGAGTGAGGCAGGAGGTGGTGTTTGCTTGGATATTGTTACAAGTGAATGGCGACTCTGCCACAAACGTGCAATAAGAGTCTGTTTCACTGACATTGTCAATGCTCAAGTTTTTTCTATAGCATTTTGTCCTTTATTGACATTTTACATCAAGTACTTTCAAAACGCTGTGGTTTCTCATTTTTTCAGTTTGCTCTTTGCTTATTTTTTTAACTTGTAATGCAGGAGGAGGAGAATTTTCTTCCCATTTCCCTCTTGAAAGAATTTTTTTAAACTTAATATTTAGGTTCACCTGCACCTGCATTCCTCCATCACATACCGAACCACAGAATTGAAAATGCGAAAAGCCTGTATCTTCAAAATGTTTGTTCTTGATACACTTACTCTTTGCACTGGGGATGCTGAGTGGGTAATAGTGGTGTGGTACCATGTACGTGTATCTGGAATGACTTCAGTCATCTGATCCCTATCATTTAGATTATTTGGGGGCGAGGGGAAGCAAAGGAAAGAGTTTTTTTTTTTTTTTTAGGTAGGTACCATTCGTTCATATATTTTCAGCCCGGGGAAAGATTTTTGTGTGGGGGAGACTAGAAATTAGCAAGAATCCTGTCATTAGATTTTACACCTTAATATACAATTGCTTGTTCCATTGAATACAGAACAACAGAGGAAACATAGGAAGCACTGCTGGTTGTGGTTTTGGTGTGTGTTTTGTTTTGTTTTGTTTTTTAAAGTGCATGCCAACAGGTGCCAAAAGTACCGGTTAATGAGATACTGCTGCCAAGCACGTACAGCTACTTAAATTTGGCCAGATCTTGTCCGTCTATTTTGTTGTTGGGGATTTAAACATTTCTCAATGTGAAAGAAACAGTCCATTAATTTTCTTCACTACTTCTTCCAGTTTGTTTTTCATGTGGCATAAAAACACTCCCACTGTGTCTGTTTTCTTCCTTTTTGCTCTCAGTGTCTGTGTTTAAAATTAGCCTGTAAGAAAAGCCTGTCTTTGCTGACCTGGTAACACAGCTTAGTATGTTCTCTAAGTCTCAGAGCATTGTCACTCGGGTTATTCTGTGGGCTTTTACCAGAAGCAACAGTATATTTTCTAGGGTGATTAAAACAGTCTTTTATAATAGATAGACTGCTTAGCAGCCAACATCAATATATTTTGAGAGCCACCTTCTTAGAGCACCCTGGTACAGCTGCTGAACGAACATTTCTGTTGGTGCAGTCTTCCCTTTCTTCAGGAGGTTTTCTTTTTTTAACTCCCTTTCTCCTGTTTTCTAAATCTGCATATAGTTCAATATACTCCTTTAAGTAGGTGGAGGCGGTAACTGGAGGGTAGATACGCCTGCGGCTCAGGAAACAATGATTCCTTCCTCATGAACCTCTTGGTAGGCATTTTGATTTAGCCCAGTACCTCTGTGTGCTCACTGAAAGCTCTTGTAGTTGCTCTTCTGGTTTCTTAGCTGTATGTTGTCTGCATCATTCCAATTTACGCAGTCAAGTTTCTAATTTGCATCAGTTACCCCAATACATTTCTGATTGAATTCTGTGAGTAATCTGAAGAGAAATCAGGAAACTACCTTAGAGAGTAAAGTACTACTGGTGTGAGAGAACGACACAGTCAGTCAGTATTTGTATATCAAGACATGAACTTACTAAATGTGATCTAATCAATTTTCCTGGAACAATGAAGCAAAATGGTACAAATCCCTGTGTAGCTGTAAACTATGAACCTTTTTGAGATCCTTGGGTTTTACACTACTTTTTTCTGGTGAATTGCAGCATTTTTTAAGGGTGGGTTTTTTTCACTTAAGAGGAAATGTCCCTCTATTTCACCTGTTTCTCTTCCAATTAGTAGTTGCCCACCTCTTGGGAGAATAATTAAGAGGTCTGTAGTTAGCCTAAGGAAACGAATTAAAGAAATTGTAAAAATGCAGCTGTAATAAATGGGCAATATATAGCCGTTAAGTCCACAATATCCATATTCATGCTTATGCATTGCTACTTTAATGATTTGATATTTACCTATATAACTCATTTGATTGTAAATAATGCTGATTGCACTGGGAACCAGTGTAGCATGAGAGGAGTAATAACCTTTCTCTTTGTTCCAAAAGGCTTAGGCAGGCATTTTGTTTAAGCAGCAAATATGTGCAGTAGAAATTGATACTTCTTAATTTTGCACTTAATGGATATTGGCTGCCATCAAACAACTTTGAGTAATTAGTAGTTGTGGTTGTGAGAAGCCCCAGGACTGATGAAGTGTCAAGCAGTGGGTAAAGACTGGTCTGAAGGGCAGTCTTTAATCTGTCATGGGTCCCAGAAGGATTAAAGGTTGTGCGGAGTGTTTCTCCTGTTTATACAAGTCATGTGTCTTACTGAAGTTCACTTGAAAGTCTTGGAAATACAAATCCTACCTGATAAAATATTAAAAACTGCATGAGCGTTTCATGTCTCAGGACCTGAATAGCAGTTAGGGAGAACTATTATATTGTGCTCTGAATGGGGAAGAGGAGGCACACAATGTTCCCTCCATACAGGATGGTAGCTGAGTATTTAAGTAACAGCATATGATTAACACATGATAAAGAAAAATAGTGATAAAAGCAATTTATCAAGCCTGACATGAACCTTCAACATTTACTTTTAGGTGTGTTTCCTTTTCAGTCAGATTGATGAGTGATGATGGAAGACTTTAATCTCTCCAGTAGATTTTTTACTGGAAATATGTATGCTCTTTACTGGAATTATGTTTTATTGAGGTTATTTATGATGTTTGCTTAGTTAAACTTTTGGGAGTACAAGGAGCTATCATGGTGAGTTACCCTTAAAATATCTTTGCTTTTCCTTTGCTGTTCATGTGTCATTGAACGATAATGTCAGTTCTGACAAGCAAACAAATTTTGATTAAAATAGGTGTTCAGATAATTTTTGTTATCCATGGGGAAAACACTTTAAAGTCTACATTTGAGTGATGATCAGTAACAGTTATTTTAAAGCAGTTTTGAGTAAACAAATTTCACACAAATGCACCTACAGAACCAAGTGCCCCATGGATGCATCACAGATCTGCTTTTCTCCGTGCCTGTCACCTTTTGCACAACCCAAACCCTGCATTTGTTTCCCTTGGTTCTCTTCTGGGATGTTTGTAGATGCCTCTCATTTGTCACTCCTCTTTGATGTCTTTCAGTCATTACAACCAATGGCTTTTGTGGATAAAACTCAGTTAATTTCTCTTCATGTATTCCCATAACTTGAGAAATACTTTCTTGTTCTTGAGATCTAACCCATTTCTAAATAGTGTGTGCTTCATCTGCTTCATGTCTGAAATGTGGCCTTTCTTATTTATCTGTATAGCTCCAGGTGTCTTTGGCTAAGCTCTGACCCTTCAGTGTTTTCCCTCTGACTTCTGTAAGCGAAGCAATTGCTTATACAGGTTGAAAAAGTTCTTACAGGAATTATTTTCATATGGTTTTGGCAGCCTTCTTAATTTACCTTCTACTTTCCCACTCTTTTCTTCTGCATCAAACATGCAGTTCATCTTCCAGAGCCTTTCATAGCATGTACCTTGTCTGCTTGTCATTCTCTGCACCAGTGCCCTGTCCCAGTGCCCTGTGATTGAGTTTTAAACCCTTGTGTTAAAAATTTCTCAAAAAAATACCCAATGTCTTTTGTGCTCTACCTTATTCCCTAGTGGAAATCTCTGCAACTATTCGTAAATCCAACACAAGTATTTGCAAAACTAGCACATTATACTTTAACAAATTACTGCTTCAAAGTTTCCTTTTTCGTATCAGCAAAACCTGGGCTATTTTTTTCTATCGGTGGCTATGCTCAAACCACTCTTCGTAGTTCTACAGCATCGAATTGTTCCTCCTGCTTTCTCCTGTCTGTGCAAGTGTATGCACTGTACAGCCCGTTGAGCACCTGACTGGAGTCCTTTAATGTTTAGTAATACAAGTTTAAAGAAATAAATCAGCTTTTAAAGCATTGCTGAAGGTCAGGTTACTGTAGCCTTTGTGCAAGCCCTTTATGCAATAGTTTTATATGCTGTATTGCCTTTACATGTAATGTCTGTCACTAGAAAATTGAAAAGAGGATTCATTGCATCCAAAGCTAATCCGTAGATCTTACACCATATCTTTCCTGTAATTCCTTAGAATCTTACTGAGGCTGCATGGTTTTAAGGGTTTAGGCATTCTTATTATTCCTTTGTTGATAAACTGGAAGATTGAAAGATGGATATGATACAGTTAATTAACTTTTACAGGTTCAGATTTTCCTGTGCTTGGTGACAGACTCTACTTTTGGACACATTAATAAATGGCTGGTTTTCTGCAATACTGCACTCTTCCTGCTTCCTTTCATTACACTCGCCAAGGTTCCACTAGATGAGACATTTGCAGTCTTAAGACTTCCTGCCGGGGTTCAGACTTTGTATTTTTGAGATTGAAGCTGTCGTGTTCATGAAACTACTTAATTAGAAACACATTCATTTCAGTGCATACTGGAGGAGTCTTGAGCAGCATAGCTGGGCACACAGGGAAGTTGAGCATTTGTGCAGCTGGCAGCTAAACCAGTGGTTTATCCTTTGAATATAAAATCACTGAGTATTTTCTTGCTTCTGGAATGTGGCCACTGGAAATGAAGAGATACGGGTGAAAGAGAGAGCGTTTGTCGCAAATAAAACATGCAAAATGACAAATAAAAATAATACTCAGTTGAACAGCAATCCAAATGTAACAAGTGTATCATGTTGTATGGTAAAAATTTCAATCCAAGAGCTTGGATGTATGTTCTGGGTCTCATCTGTGGAATTCCCAAGGCAGCAGAACCTGCAGGATTTGTACCAAGTTAGTTTCTGCTTTAGCAGTCCCTCTGTGCTGTCTGTTGTGAGCTGCTGTATCGGGTGAAGCTTGGGCAGGGGCATTCTTGCCAGCCTAGGCCATTCAGGAGGTTGTAATGTGATGTGATACATGGCCCTTCAGCATTCTGCAAATGAACTTGTAAGGTTTTTTTGAAGTTATATATATTTAATGTCTTCAAAAAGAAAAAGAGTGTTTTCATGTAGAATGTCTAGTACAGAGGCTGTTTCCATCTTGTGGTACAGCGTCCAACAGAGTAGGAGTTTTAGGGGATATAGTAGTAAACATGATAAATACTAATGTGCATATCAGTAAATATATCTTTTTTTTTAAAGGTATTTCTCATGAAAATGAGAAGCAGTGGGTTTTGCTGGTCTGGTGTCTTTCAGTAGTTTTTTCAGCGCTGTGCTTCTCTTACTGAGCAGTAGGCACTAGTTTATAAAAGCAATATGGAAGATATTTTAATCCAAGGCAGTACAGTGACATTTCTCTCATTTTTTTCATCTGAAATTGAAAACGAGCTCTTTGAGCTTCTGTATCCAAAATGAAATGAGACTCTATTTTAAAAGTTGTGTCTGTCTGTGTGCTTTCCGTTTAACAGGCAGTATATGCCATATTTGCAATTAACAGCTTTGGCATCCCTTTTTGATGTGTTCTAATAAGCAGGGCAAATGTAAGCTTTCCCTGATTAGTTGTGTGGGAGTCCTATAATAAGCTTAATATTAGAAATACTGTATACACAAAGATACAACTTTCATTCAGTATTCTTTTTGTGCGATGTAGTCCATGTTGGTGTTTGCTAACATCATGGAAGAGGGAAAAGATCAATCTTTCTCTTAAAAGTGTTCTGTTTGCTAACAGAAGTATCACACCTGTGTTTGAGGCTACAAATTTGGCCTAAGAGCCTCTTGTTGGTGTATTTACGTTTTGTGTTCTGAAGGGAATAATGGTATCGGCTTGTATCCCAGTAAATCTGGAGTTTATCAGAGTCTTCAAAAGTAATTTTTATATTTTTCTTTTATAAATGTAAACACTTCAAGATCTATACTTAAAAATAAATTATTTAAAATCTGCCTTGACCCATATTCAAAGGATTTAAAATTTGTAGTACCAGGTGATACATGTAGTGTTAAGTGGTTAATTTAACATATAACAGGATTAATTTTTCTAAAGAATACTCTTAGAAAAAGCCTAGGTATTTTTCTGAAGATTGTAATAACACATTTTCTTTGTTTTTTTTTAAAAAGACCCCAGTATTATAGATGTATTTAATAGCTGTCCATACATACCTATCTTAACTTAGTCACTTAGAAATTCTGTCGAGAAAAATTAAAGTCTTACGGTAGTGAGAGAATATTGCATAGTAAAAAAAGTCTTTCAAATATGGAATAAAATTTTGTTCACATGTGGTTTGTTTATATATATATTATTTTTTTTAAGCACGATCTAATCCAGTATCCCGGTATTTTCCTGTAGGTAATTTTATAAGCCATATGTGTTAATCCAGTGTTATGAGAATGTAAAGCTGTTTTGGTTTTTTTTTTCATCTTTGCAGTGCCCCAATGCCCTACCTCATTGGAATACATTTAAGTTTGATGGAGGTAAGTCTTTCTCGCTATTTCTGAAACTATATATATAGTTTTATGATTTGTAGCTAAATTCTGCAGGCAATTATACATTCATTCATAGGCTTAAAAGTGAAATAATCCTATTAATTTAGGAGTGCTGAGAGAATTGAAGTGAAGCACACATGATAATGTTCAATCCTAAGGGAGCATTATTGGATACCTTGTACTCTTTGGGCATACTTTCTGTTTGCAGTTCAGCAGTCAGTGACGAGCTCACGTTGTGTTCCCCTATCCATCCTGTTGCTTCATTTAATCAGTTTACTGCCTTAGTTAGACTCTGTATTCACAAAGGCAGAGTCGATATTAAACCAAAATGTTGACAGCTACAGTTCTCTTTTAGGCTTTTGCAGACAGATTGTAATTTTTTTAATGTTCAAAAGATCTGAAAAGAAGGAACTTGCTGTTAATGTTAACACAAAGCTGGCACAAAACCAGCCCTCACAGAAAGCTTCACATATAAACAATTCAGAGTAATTCATGTGACTTTTTAAAAACTCTAAAAGTAGAAATAGCACATTTGCTTTTTCTTCCACTACTGGTAAAACAGTTGATGACTTTCCTCAAAAGTATCTGGAGGACAACATCAGCTATTCATTTAGATCCCTATGAAAGTCCTAGTGCTTATTAATTGTGCCCCTTTACACAGGAAGTCTGAACAACGCGTGTATGCTCCTTGAGGGGAGAGGTATTTCTGCCTCTTTGTAGGCTCTTAAATTAGCAGGCAGTGTTGAACTGGTAGGAGTTGCAAATGCCCTTGAAAGTTAATTGACTTGTGTCCCTGTTTTTAGATACCTGTGTTTGGAAATTTAGGCTTAGTGTTTAGGACACAATGTACAAAGCTGAGTTTTACATCACATAAAGTAATGCATATTACCAGGATATTTTTTCTTATGTTGTCCATGAAAGTGTGTCATTTCTCTGGAAATATTGATCAAACATTATTTCATTAGGGCATATGTATGTAATAATGATCCTTTCTGTCTATGTGTGTTAAAACTTAGACTAGTATGCCATGTAACTTCCCCCTTTTTCCAGCATGAATGTGAAGTAATTTTAGAAGTAACTTTTTTCATGAGAAGCTAGATGGAATATGCAGGACCTCTTTACTCTTTTTGTCTTTTTCTTACCATCCTGGATACAGATGCCTTTTTTTAATGCCCTTTATATTGCTAAATAAAGTATAGAATTGCAGTATAATATGTTAGTGAGTGAGCAACTGTTTTAAAAGTCAACATGTGCATTTGTTTGCACATCATATGCTTATATTAGAGGAGTTTCTGATAATTACCCTTTTTTAGTGCATAGACAGGACCGAAGTAGTATCTAGGAAGAAATAGTCTATCATGTATTTTTCATCTTGATCAAGAACCTTTCTGCCCCATATCTGTACCAGGTAATCATTGGCATGCTTATTATGGTGTCTATCTATTTGAAAAAAAAGGAAGAGACCTGGTAGAGGATAAGATAATACCTCAATACAGATACTGGTGAGCAAAAATATTTGTGAAAGCTGACAAAGAGCTCCGTGGTTAGCCTGTCAATGGATAGAGGGAAAAAAAATTAATAATTACACTTTGTAGTTGCTTTGCATGATGTCTTACTCCTGCCTTGCTACATAAACCCATTACCTCTTCCTTTGTCTCCATTTTTCAGATTGCAGGGCTCTGTAGGCCTTCCAAACTCCATCTGTAAGAACTCAAAAAAAGGAGTTGTTCTTGGAGAAGCCAATTTTCACCCATTTTAGTAACTCGTGAAAAAATCTGCTTAGTACTAAATCCAGTATGGCTTTTGAATAGCCGGAGATTCTGGAACACAGACGCACTTTGGCAAAGTACAGTTATTCAAAGTGCCTTATGAAATTAATTAAATAAATAAAGCAACCTGTCTTCTCTCCTCCCTCTGCTGTTAAGGATAAAATGAATACTTCCAGCTAGAAATGCATCTTCCAGCTAACTGCTTTTTCCATTGAAAAATAAAATAAAATCACACAGTGGGCTATTGTGTCTGTTTGTTGGCAAGTACCGCATAATTTCTCTGTGCCTTGGGCAAAGGAAAAGTGACGTTTGTCAGATGAGCTAGACAATTATTAGTTTACCTCTTTGCCTGTTTTTGATGCTGAAAGATTACTCTTTTTCTTCATGTGTAGGTATAAAATAGTGTGGTTTATTTGTTGGAATAACAGCTTACTGGCAACAGCATTTTTTTTTTCTCATGATTGTGGTTTTTTGAAAATACAATATATTAATTTTTCCATATCAAAATAATTTTGTAAACTACAACTAAAAACTACTGTCATTAGTCAGTGTTCATTTTTCTTTAAATGCTGATATTTCAGCAAATAGATCTTTAAAAGTGTTTTGTTAATCCACATGTTCTAGTTTCAGGATAAGGGATTAATTCCCCAGTCTTCTATTCAAGTTAAGACAGGTGGAGTCTTTATCTACTGTAAAGCCCCATGGGAGTGATTGCAGTTATATATAGGCTCATGGTTCTACTCCAACAGCTCCAGTCACTGAATTTGTCATGCTTGCGTAAATGTTAGTGGAAGCCTAAACTTGCTCAGAGAAAGCTGTGGTGTAGAGGGCAGGGTGAATTTGGAATGTAGGAAAAAAACAATTTTCTAGCTTTAGTGTTGTTTCTGTGGGTTTTTGCTCTCACTATCTTGGAATAGGTCCTCTGGAAGAAATATAGTAGTAGTGTAAATTATTTTAAACAAAATACACCCTCTCTCTCACCTGGAAAGATTTTATTTATTTATTTATTTATTTTCCCCCAAGCCATTTTGTAGCTTAAAGTTAGTTTGCAGTTTCCCATGTTACACAGGCTCTCCATAGAAGGAGCAGTTGTTTTAATGGAAAATGACAACTTTTTCGTATGATTGAAATATCAAGCATATCCATTGACTGTTAAATCTAATTTGCTGTGACTGAAATGTTCTCTAGTGAGATAAGATAATCTCCTGTTATAGGTCAGAGGGCTCCAGCTGATTTATGGGGGGAAATCTTGGTAGAAAATATAGAGCTGTGTTTTGTGCTCTTATTTTTTCAGCTTTTCTATCATCACCTAGTTAGTCATTCTTTATAAGATTTCCATTTAGCAATCCATAAAGTGACTTCAAAGAAGGCTAAAAGTTTATAAGCTGTTGGATAAGCAAGGCTGGAGCTATCACATGAATAATGGAACATGCTTATGGAACTAATTGAATTCATATTAGATGAAGATAAGTACTTAGTAATGATAAATAATGAGATAGGAAAATGAAACTCTTATCAAATGAACATATCCCTTTCATAATCTTGTTTTGTTTTCTACCTACGTACTGTATGCTATTTTAGTGTTCAGATTATATTAAATTGACCTTTGTGTTCTAAGTGGTGTCAAACTTAGCTGGCAGCCTTTTACATTTTGTCATAGTAAACGATTGTTTCAGCAACTGTTTCTGTAGGAAAGGTTATTAGTGTGATGGTGCTGATGGAAGAGGAATGCCCTTGACCTAGTAGACTACCGATTGGAATTCAGGCACATGTGGTTTAGGTTAACCATTGGGGATAGTTCTGTTCAGCTGTCAGATACTGAGCGGCTGGCAGTATAGTCGTCTGTGCCAGGCTTCCAGTCATTCAAGTAACAATAGTGCCCACCCTTTTCCTGCTGTATTTGGGGCACAAACACAAACTTTAGAGTTAAAGTTAATGATTAGAAAAGTATTTCTTATATATTTTTTTTTTTTTAATATTCCAGCCACTCAAGGACTTTTTCTGGGACTTCAGAATTTTAATTCTTGCAAGGTTATCCAGAATTAATTTGTGTGTGAAACTTCACATTGCATTTGTCGGAATGAGTTTCTAACATTTTTCCTAAGCATAAAGGACAGTTGTGCATATCATAAAGCCTATATGAGCAGATTTTTCTTTTATTTTAACCTGATATGAGTAAATATGTTCATGTTAGGAAAAGAAGGTTCACTAAAATTCATACTGTGTTTAATATGATAGGATACGGCAGGTGGTCTCACATCATGTTGATAGTCTCTTCCTTATGCAGACAGATGAATGGAAAGCTGTGTTCAGTCCTCTGAACCCCACGCATGTATTCTGGAAGCACTTTTTGACATATTTACCTGGTCTTTTTCAGGTAGGCTTGAGGATGCTGTGTTTGTGATCCGATTTGGTAATAGGCCAGTTAGCATGCAGAGAGTCTGAGCTAACGAACTTGGAGAAGCAGGTTACATCAGCTCAGGCTTAGTCCTGACAGTGCCACGTGGTTTCCCCTTGCCACAGAAGACACCCTGAGAAGTCATTGGCCACTGGCATCTTCCAGTGGTATTCTTAATTGTTAATTATATTTTTTGATTGGCGTGAGGATGAATATTTAGCTTTTTCCATTCATTTATACTTAGTAAATCACTGCCTTTTCTAGCTATAACTCAAGAAATGTAGCTTTTTTACAGGGTTTAAGTGAAGGGGTTGTATATATACTTAAATCCAAGTCTTAAAAAACTAAATGTAATTTAGTCACTCACAAATATAAATACGGCTGTATGTGGTTTCAGGAGTATTGATAAAAATGCATTAAAAATAGGACAAATTACTTACGGAATTATCTTTTATCCAATCATTGGAAAAACGAAAATAATAATTGTTCTTTATTAAGAGCATTGGGGCAAGGGGGGATGTTTGAGGCTTAAGTTTTAGACAGACAAATACTGCAGTACCAAGTAAGCACAGAAGGTTTTTCTTCCGTTGTACAATAGTCTTAGCCCAGCGCTAGTGATGTTTGTCACTCAGTTGGCAGCAGCTGCTTGTGATCAGGATCTTGCGCATCACCTGTACGGGCTCAGGGTACTGCACATCAAGGGTGGGAGATGGGCGGAAGAGGGGGAGATGCCCGGGGCGGGGGGGCAGCAGCCCACCTGCTGTGCCCAGATCAAAGGGCTGAGAGGTCAGGGGCCACATCCAGCTTAACCAGATTTGTCTGTTGAATAGCTATTTCAGATTGTAAATCTAAGGGTGATTTCATTAAGTCCTTCTGGCTGCTGTTGGGGCATGAAATAATAAAATTTTATATCCGTTGCCTTTCCTGCTTCTGGCAGCCAGATTGACACATTGTTGTCTGCAGTGTTGTGGTGTTTTTCTTAAGAAAATAAATGGAAACTATTAACTAAGTAGAGATAAGTCATTAAGCAAATGGATTTTAGACTTGTTGTGAATCACACTTTCGTAACAATTTCGAATATAATGTACAAACTAGCTGCTGTTAGTTTTTGTGAAGAGTTTTACCTTTCCCAAATAGTTGGTGGAAGGTACAGTTTCTTTTTTTCTGCCACAACATTTTTCAATATGTTGATCACATTTGTATCTGGTTGTGAAACCTCATGATCAACTTAGTTTATGTTTTGGCACCAATTTAGCCATAAAATTATGCAAACCTGGGGGTTTTTTTGAGGGGGCAGGGGGAGGAGGGTGGTGTTTGGTTTTTTTCTTTTTAAATGAACCATTCAATAAAATTGTTTATGTGAAATAAGTTTAACTTCAAATTTTTTTTATGATAGGAAATGCAAGAACTGCCAACTGTAGACAGTGATAATAAAATAGCATTTAGTATAAACTCATGTTAGTAGTATTGATCAATATTGCTTCTAGCATGTGATCTGAGTGAAGCAGAGGCACGCCCCTTGATACTTCTGTTGGAATATAGTTTTTCAGTGTTTTTGCAAACTTTCACATAAAACATTTAAATTACTTCAAGTGTTTGGCTGCTTGTGAGCAGGACAGACGCACTAACTGCTGCTTATTTACTGACCTGGTGTTTAAGGCCCCCTGGAGTTTGTTTGAAAAGTTAAGAGATTTTCACAGTAAAGGTGCCATTTCTGAAATTTAAAGTGCTCTTTTCACCAGGAGATAAGTTCTCTCTGATTAAGTCAGTAATTCTTACTAAGCCATGTTTATAGAGGCCATAAACAATGGGTTCAGTGTGCTTGTTAAACCAGCTTTCCATACCTCTCCACTCTTTTAAAAAGAGACATTTAAAATAAAAGGCAGGTGTAGATGTTAGTTTGATTTGATGGTTTTTAGATGATTCATTATGGCTACAAGTAATTTGGTAAGGATGGTTAAGAAAGGTTTGCAGTAGTGATATGTGATGCACATGTTCACTAAATCACTTCTTTTGACTCAGCACATCGGTAGCCTGTGGTAAAATTAGATAAGGAAAGGGTAATGTTCATACCTCGTGCTCTTTGCTTCTCTGCTCTTTTCTTTCAGAAAAATAAGAACATACTGAATATAGTCTGTTCTGTTTAACAGGTATCACTTTTATTTGTAAAACGTTGTTTAGATATTCAGTAAGTTGTGGAATATGGAATGCGACATACATGGCTTAGTGGCCGTCCCTTCGTATTTTGAGAAAATTATGAGAACACGCAAACTATACCTGTGAAAATGATCAACATGTAGTTGCAAGTCATAGAGTCCAGTGGGATTTAATGTGAGAAATGCAGTTGGATGCTGGGAATTTTTACTGAAATTCCAACAAGAGAGTAAATACTTTAATTTCCGGGTCAGTTGGGCTGATAGGTACTACGTTTAGTGAAAGAACCATGCGATTGTTGGACAAAAGTCCTTATAACTATCTAATAATACCTTTATCAAAGATTATAGTGAAAGGAAAGATGCTAAAACCAGATAAGGATTAAGATGAACTGGTCAGTCTGCATTTCTCTAGGATAAGCTACAAGTGGACCATTTAAAAATTACACTTTTTCAAATGCATTGCAAGACGGATGCTATAAATCAAGTTAGTCTCAAGTGTTTTAATAAATTTGAGGGTTTGTCTCCAGGGAAATCCACTGCCTTAATACAAACATTGGGAAGTTTTAAGGTAAGGTTGTGCTCTTCACAGTGTAAAGGTATAGCACAGCAGAGTTTGATATTAGCCTTCCTTTCGGATGCAGTGATTTCTGGACCATGTGTGGAGATAATTATTTTGATCAGCATTTATAGTCCTTGCACCATAAGCAATGTTCTTTTTGAACTATCCTCCTTGGCAGATATCTGCTTGTCACAAGCCTTTTCTTTGCTACAGAAACCCCCGAAGTTTTGCTGAAAGGAATGTGCAGATTCGTCACCAAAGTTACAAAAACACTCATTGACAAGTTCAAGCCCATGTTTGTTGCTTCTTCGGCAAGAATCAAGAGAAGGTTTTAATTCCTTCTGTCTTGTCCTACTAGCACTTGATTTTGACAAGCTTCTGGCTTTGGTTAAGTACGTTGCAAGACTTTTTTGTTGGAGCTTTTTAGACTCCTCTGAGTATAAGTGAGATTTTTAATTTTCTGAAACAGGAAGGAGCAAATCAGTTTGTCTGGTGCTTCCGGACTCCTAGAAGGAGCAAGACTCCTGGATTGCTTTAGAGTTTATCAGATGCAGCCAACAGAGTGACCTTTGGTTCCTGAAACGTAGAGGAAAGTACCTGGTTTGTCAGGCAGTACTTATGCTTTTTATATGGAAAGCATTAAATGTAATATTCATCCATTTAAGCTAAAGAAATTTCTCGTGGAAGACCTAAACTTAAATGTCTACAAAGTGTTTTTTATAGTTGTTGGCTTTCCCCCCTACCCCAAGTACACAGCAGTTTTCTTTATAGACAGAGGACTGAGCCTTGAAAACTGAAGGTAATTATTTAGATGCCTAAGGCTCAACTTTGCCATTGTTTTAGAGCTTCAGTTCCTTTCTTTTAAAGGAAACAATTCCCCCACCCCACAAAACCTTAATTAAAAATTGAGTGTGTTTTTGTTCATTTTCCTATTCAGTAACTTTCATTTGGTCCTATGTTTAGGTATGTAGGTACTTAAACGTGTCGTTGGGAAATTTCCTTAATTACCATATTCTATAGTTCCACTTTTTCTGATTTTGAATTTTCAAACCTTTATTTGAAGAGGGCTTACATAGGTATGATTAGTCAGTCAAAAAAAAAAAAAAGGATTCAATTCTCCTGTTAGTGGAAAAAATGTTAAAATAAATATTTAAATGCTGCTCTGTTTCATATCAGTGATTCATTTACTGTTGTTTAAGCAGGGAAATAAAGTCTGACAATGTTTAAATTTGCTTAGATCACCAATACCTGTAGACACTGAATGTCAAAGGTACTAATGATCATTCTTTTGAGAAATAGGTTGTGCTTTTCTTTTGCATGTCCATGTACTGTTTCAGATGATGTTAACACATAAACTAGATTAGAGACATTCCTTTCTCTCAATTCATGGGAACAGGATGAAAAATTTAAACTCACTGAACATTAAGAGACCATGATATGGTGGAGTTACTTTTCTCTTAGCTTTTTTCATTTTAATTATTTATTTTTTAACCTCTGATAGTGTCCATTTTACTTAAATAGAATTGTAAACTTCTCTCTATTGGAGTCCAGAATTCAACCTGGAATTTGGAAACCAGTTCCCATCGCTGACTTACTGCAACTCTTAACTCCTAGAAAAGCCACTACTTATGGTTATTTAAATTAATTTCTGAATATAAAAAGATATACTTGAAATCTTGACTCAGCTAGAAACTGCTAAATGTGCAAACAGGATACCAGAATGAAGATGAACATTAGTAGAGGTGCTTGAAATAAATCTTGGCTTGAATAAGCACAAACAGTAATTCTCTAATTTCAACAATTTCAGCATGCACAGTGTTAAGAACTTCCCTCTGCAAATTGAAGGTTAATTTTTCAGCATTGTTAAATGTGAATAAATAAAACAAATGATGACAGAAAGACAGGACTGTTGGTTGTTTTTAAAATGCTTGAAGTTTTGTGATACCATGATGTTATGCCATCACTTGTGTCCTTAATGCATAACATTTAACTCTTCATGCTTTGTATTTTCCTTTCCCTTTTCTTGAATTTGCTCATATTTAGAAAGTAAGAAACATGGCCCTGGAAGATGTAGTGATTCTTAATGTAGACACCAACACACTGGAAACCCCTTTTGATGACCTTCAGAGCCTTCCTAATGATGTGGTATGTATGAAATGATTTATCCAACTATTCCATTACTTAAAAGTGTAAATCCTTTTGACCTGTTCAGTTTGTAACTGAGGTGTCTCATTGTGTTACTCTCATTATTATAAGTAAACTGCTTTACCTCAATTCTTTCCTGTTTTGAAATGTTAAGGAATGTTTGTTTGAACATTTGCAGACATATTTTTAAGCCTCCTAATGAAAAGTAGCTAATGCTCACATAAGCTAGAAATGCTGCAGCAACCCAGTTTCAGTTTTGGAGTGTCATGTTCAAGTTTCAGGTCGCCTTAAGAGTTGGTCTTTTATGGGTAAAAAAGACAAATGAAAACCACACAGGTTATGGTGCATCTGAACAGGAAACAAAAATCCTGCGTTTTTACATAACTTTTGTTTCCAAATGAAATTTTGGGGGTTTTCTCCTGTCACTTCTTCCAGATGAGCTTTAATAAACTTTGTGCATTTTACACCTTGAGTTACGATATCAAATGGGCTACTTCATATTCACTTCTAGCACTGGTCAGTGCATAGAATTTGGAACTTATTTTCTTTCTCATTCAAACTTTTTATTGGTAATTTATTTATTTTTTAATAACTTGATAGAAATGTTGTATAAATACTTTCTTTTTCCCTTTAATGGGACAAAGATACATCCAGCTTGCCACTTGCTGCTGTAATCATCTTTACCAAAGAAGCTGAGAGGGAAGAGCAGTAGAGTAAATGAAGCTACTTTTAAGTCAGAGGGTGACTGTTTAGGAGAAAACGGCATGGGAAAAATCTGGATTTCTTTTTAGATCTATGCCTTTTTATGTGTAGTTGAGAAATAAAATTGATATGCAGGGAGCTCAGTATAAGCTGGTGTGTTTGAGGAAAAACTCGAGTAATGGTGAATACCCAGGGCCTCCTACTGTGACACCCCGTCATTTCTGTATGATCTGTGGTGTGAGCCATTCTTCGAAAACAGTGAGCTCTGGATGAAAGGTCCGTCATGATTGTGAACATTTTGGCTTTAGTCAAGCATTTAGTCTATAAAAGTTACTTCCATGCATTTTTCTGGCTTTATATAGTTTTTCATTTTGATTTCACTCCCGATATCCAAACCTGCCAGCTGGTCATCGCTCGTGCCATTATCCACAACCCGGGGAATGACAGACTTGTAAATTGCATGGAATTATGTAAGAAATGTCTGGATACAGTGACTGCGGGGCCTCAAACATGTATATGATTTGTCAACAATCAAGTATTATATTAGATTTTATGAGACTTCATTAAAAGAGCTGTTGAAGGCGCACTGTAGAACATCAGAAGAGGCTTCACCAATAAACACAGAACTTCAAGCTTTGGAATGTAATAAATTTTAAGAGACTTCCTTCCTTTCATTATTTACTTTTACTTCACGTTTATAACAGTAGAGAGTTGTGTTTTATTAGTTCAAATTTCTTGATTCAGTTTTCCACCGGTCTATTTAAAAGCTACATTTTATCTTGGAGGATGTTTGGAGCATAGCAGAGGAAGTGCTGCCAGCAAATTCAATTAACTGGCATGGCTCACAAATAGCGTACATGGTGTATTTTTTTTTTCACAACTGCTATATAAATACAGCTGGGATTAATATTTGTCGCAACAAAGCCTTAACTTGAATCATGTTGCGTAATTAATGTTTGGGATCAGTGTTTATGTCTTATTTAGCTTTATTTCATTATTTTAGTTACCTAGATAATGAAGTATTCTCCTTTTCCTTTCCTTCAGACTGCTTAATATTTGGCTTTGACCACTAGAGAGCAGCTGCTCTTCTTTGCCAGAATTGAATTTCTGTCAGTTCTTTCATGCATCATGTGTTTGGAACTGTAAGTGGATCAAGTTGTTCGTCTCAGCAGGGAGACTCTAAAGCCAATCCATTATACTTTTTTCCTTTTTATTTTTTTTTTTCCCCTTTTGCTTCACTGGGAGAATGGGGAGATTCTGGGATTGTGTCTCCCCACTGGTCTGAGTCTAAATAGGTGCATTTATGGTCTGAGAAACCAGAAATGTCTTCAACAGTTTCATGGTCATAAATGGCTGTTATATCAAGCTCTTCTGCCAGTTTTGCTACTTAATGTGAACAGCAGGCAATTCATGCAGTGCTGAGTAGACACAAAATTTACTTTGCTAAATTAAATCTATCTATATTCAACAGTGAGGAAGAACATCTTCTGTGCGATGCATTTGCCACCAGGTAATTAATCCAGTGGAAAATTTTTAAAGCTTTTTTCCCCCTCTCCTTGAGCAGCTGTTTTTAATCGAGTAAATGAGGTCCTATGATTATTTTAGAGCTTCAGGTAGTGAGTTTTGCTTGAGTTTCATGATAGTGATGTTGCTACCGAAACTGTTGATTCTTGGGAATCTAGAATGAACTATTTAGGATCCAAACGAACATAGGCTACAGTGAAATGTCTTTCCAGTTAACATTTGTGTCCGAGGGGCTGGATAGCATTGAGACAGTTCCGGCAGAATCCCATTAAGTCATTTCTCTGCCCTGGTTTACCTCAGCAGTACCTGCTAGCAGTCAGACTTCCTGAACTGTTCAGGTCAGGTCCCTGAAAATCAAGGTGTGTACTACTGTGTTACTGGTTAACTACTTGAAATGTGAAAAACTGTCCCTTCTTCACATTCTGCTTCTGATATGTTGCTGAAAATCTGGCAGCATGAGAACGCCCTGGGAAGTAACTTTCCTTTTAAAATAGTCAATATTAAAAAAAGAGATTTATTAAGGACTGTGATTACAATAAGTGCATCTGCTGCTGACAAGTCTCCTACACCACCGTCTGTGTTGCAAGGAATAGCAAAGAGGGGGTAGTAATTTATTTTTTTTATGCAACCCTTATGGATTTTTCATGTATTTCCAAATAAGTGTCATCTTCAGTCTTAGTTGTAGTCAGAGCTTCATATTACAAGGAGTAAAGCATAAGCTCGCTCTGTCAACTTGTAGTTTTTATTAAATGAAGCCCTGATGCAACGCAGTGTACTGCGCCAAAGAGATCTTACATATCTGATAGCTGTGAGAGTATTGTAAATTTGCACTAGCCTATGAATATCTTAGGCTGTCAGTAATTTAGTTGTGTATGCTACTGTTGTCCATTCATTAACAAGTTACCACAAGTAGGAAGTAACAAGTATGTTACTGTTTTTCACTTAGTGGGAAATTAACTGCTTTCAGGACAGCATGAAGTACTAAACTACAACTCTATAGCAGAACCATTTTCTTAAAGGTGAATCCATTTTTATTTCTTACACTGTGTTTGCGATAGAATGTTTCTTGCTTTATTCATGTTGACAACTGAAAAGCCTTGGACCTAATTAAAAGAATTTCCACTAGCACCTTTGCTGAACCATTTCATTATGCTGCATTGCACAGATTGCATTTTGAAACATGGTGATAGTTTAAATCTGACCTTTAAACCTGAACTGCCAGAAGTATAAAAATCTTCTTTAAAAACACTCTCAGGGTAGACTGCGTGTATGTGTGTCTGTTTGGCTAGAAATAATCTTCATATTGAGTGGTCACAGTCTTTTTTTTTTTCTTAAAGTTTTACTGCCCCTTTAGACAGGAATCATAAATCTGCTTCTATAATCTAGTTTGTCTTATGTACTAAGTTATTCCACAGTAAACATGAATTATTTTTTTCTTACATGTTAGTGTCTTTAAATATGTTGTTAATATTTTCTTTTTTTTAAAAACTATTATATGCCTATTGCAGTAATCCTCATTGAAATAGTAAAAGTGTACATATATAAAATAGACATGCTACAGTGTTTGATTTAGTCTTAGAGGAGAACAAATGATCTGAAAGCTTAAGGAATTAGCAAAATATCTATCAATGTTCTGCTTCTATACCAAATAGGGAAGCTGAAACACAGAAAAAAGCTCTGACTAGCCTTCTGAACTTTTGGTTTGTTGTAAAATGAAGCGTAGAGCCTTTTCCTTCTATATAGTTGGCAAGTTCTTTATCTTCACAATAATGTTTAAAGAAAACCACTTAGGATTATGTTTGACATGGATTTAGAAGTTACTCAGAGCTATGGATATTTTATTGCACTTTTAAGAACTACCTTTAAATGGTTTACATAAGTTAATATGGGAAATAAATGCATATTTCATCCCTACAACATCAGACCCCTTCAAACATGAAGAAGTGTGCTGTTTGGGTTTGAAAATCTGTTGAGGCTTTTACATTTTGAGAATGACAGACCTCCTTGAGAGACATTATCTCAGTGAATGAGAGTGAGCTTATTTTATGGGCATGATAGACTTAATCTGTTATCATGTATTATGTTAATATGTGATTATGGGCTCATTAATGCATGAATCATTGGCATAAGCCACAGGATTCAGATTTATAAACAATGCTGGACACACTCTTGATTATTTCTATTATACTAAATAACGGTAATGAAATTCCTTCTACAACAGAATCTGCAGAAAATTTAAAAGGAAGCGTCTTTGCGACTGTTTTGGTAAACACAAGCGCAAATATAACATCTAGTTTTAAAAGAAGAAAAAGTAGTGCATGGTATGGATTATGTATTTAACACCTATATAGCAAGATAAGAAGTCGCTTCCCTGCCCTCCCCAAATCTAAGACTGCTGAAGGAGGAAGTGAGGGATGTGCTTACAGGAGGAATGAAAGTGAAGCACTCAAGAGCAGTTGTTCAGTAAAATCAGCCTGCTGTTTGCTGCTAAGGCAGGCTGGTAGCAAAACCCTGAGGCAGAAAAAACTCGACTCATCTGGTAGGATTTTGGAGAAATGGATGAGACCGGAATAAGCTTTTATAATGAGCTGGAGGATGTGGGGAAGGTCTTGAAAGTTAATTTGAACATTTGAACCATCAGCTTATATTTTATGAGGTATTACTCATCCTCTCAGAAAACACGGTTAGTTGTATTCACTACAACAGAATCTGCTTACTCTGTAAATAATATTCCTATGACGTTTCTTGCATAGTGTGAAGTATATAGAGCTACCCCAATGGAATTTTTCAGAATTGCATTTGAAAAGGATTACTTTCTAGTTATTGATAGAATTATTTCTGTTAAATTCATAACACGGATATTTATGGAGTCACTTGTGGCATTCTGCAAATCAAGATGACTAGGGGTTTCCTGGCTTTCTACTTTCCTTCTGAAATTGTGGCTCCTCCCTGTCTTCTGCGTAAGGTATCTTATCAAACTGAGGTTTTGCGTGTGACATGGCCGCATCCTGCAAAAGCGCTAGTTGAATTTCTTTCAAGAATCCGTGCCCAGATTGTTGTTTTTGTATTGCTATGTGTTATGTGAGATCTGTCTCAAAAACTTAGCTTGTCCTGGTTCTGTCTGCAACACCAAAAAATTGCTACTGACATAGCTATTTGTTAATGATTTAATGGAACCTATAACCGTTGCAGCACAGGCAGAGCAAGCTTGATGTTAATCTTTGAAGGTGGTGGGTTTTTTATCTCCTTTCCCAGCTTGTGTTTGGGAAAGAAAAACGCTGTCACTAACAATAATATCTGGCTACACAACCTTACTTCAGTTGTTACTGAGCTCTAAGCACTGGAAAAGAGACATCAAACTAAGTCACAGCCGTCTTGCATGTATGAGAAATTCTGAAGCACAGAGAACAGTAATGGGTAATCCCCTAAAACTTCAGCCCTTGGTGTACACAGAAAACAAAGACTATTCAGGTAGCCTGGATCGTGGTGGTTTTAACTCTGGCTGCATAGAAATGTGTTTAGTTGGTATTTGCTAAGTTGTGATCGGTAAGTGTCTCTGTGTAAATGGTAATGAGACCGTTAGGGCTGTGTTTGCCTACAGTGCAGCTCATGCATCCTGAGGTAATTAAACACCTCCACAGTGGAAGGGAAAAGGCAATGGGGGTTAAGAGAGGAGCCATCCTGCACACCGGTGGTTTAGATCTCTTGAGAAACAGGAAGAAAAGAGACTTCAGTAGACAGAATGTCATTGTTAATTTGAGACTTTTTAAAAGCTGCGGGTTTTGTTTTCTGGATTGCGTTGGGTGTCCGAGGTGCCTCTGTGAGGAGAGGCCCGGGTGGCCGGTGCAGGACACAGCCGGCACCAGCTGAGCCCATCAGCAAAGCTGGCAGCGCCTCTCTGGAAGCGTACGTAAGGGAGGGGAAAACGCCACACGGCAGTGAGGAGTGAGTAAAAGTGTGAGGAGGAAGGAGCGGCAGAGGGGAACTGTTAGGGACTGGCCACGGCCCCCATTGCCGTCACCCTGTGCCGCTCAGGGAGGAGGGAAGTTGAGCTGGCAAAAAGGCAGGGGCAGGGGGAGGAAGGTGTTTTAATTTCTGTCCTTGTTTCTCACCGTCCAACTCATATTTTAATTGGCAATAAATTAAATTAATTTTCCTGAATTGAGTCTGTTTTGCCCGTGATGCTAATTGCTAAGTGATCTCCCTGTCTTAAGCTGAGCCCACGGGCTTTTTCTTCATGTTTTCTCCCTGAGTCCTGCTGAGGAGGGGGAGTGAGAGAGTGGCTGGGTGGGGGTCTGGGAGCCAGCCAAGGGAACCCACCATATGCATAAGTAAAACTCTCATTTTGTTGTTTTCCATTAAGTCTCTGAAATACAAGGGAATGTAACCTTAAAAGGAAAAAAAACCCAAACCTTCTATTTGTGGCAAACCGGTTTTTCAGACCTACAGAATTTGTTCTTAGCCTTGGTGGTGATGGATCGCCTGATTATGCAGAACAATTTCTCTCTTAGTCTGATGTTTGAATTAATTTAGCTGAAATTCTTTCATGGATTCTAATCAGGAATAACACAGAACTTCATGGACTACCTTTAAAAGAGTACTCAACAGCATGTTAACAGCAAATTTCAAGTAGGAGGGGCAGGGTTGAAATGAAGCTTTTATTTTCCTATTGGTTTCTGAATAGAATCCAATTGTATCTTGGAGAAGCATAACAGCTTGAAAAGTAATGCTTTTAGAACTGAAAAATTCAACTCTGAGTTCACAATGTCACTTTTTGTCATAACTACTGCTGCGGTTAGCACATTTTTTCATTTAGCTGTGCCCCAATGTGCTAAGCTTTCTTTGCGGTATGAGAGTGATCTAGACCTGTTGTGTGATTTCAGGTTTCTGCACTGAAGAACAGATTGAAGAAAGTCTCTACAACCACTGGAGATGGTGTTGCAAGAGCGTTTCTAAAAGCACAAGCATCTTTCTTTGGGAGCTACAGAAATGCCCTGAAAATTGAACCTGTAAGTAGGAAATTAGTAGGCATAAGATGTACATCTGCAACTGTGGTGGGGGAAAAAGCTAACAAGAATTCAAAGTGTAGTATAAGCTACCATTACTAAGGTCAGCATTCTGGCTCTTTGGCCGACTAGTACTGAAAACAGTGTTCCAGTCTCCAAAAAAGAAGTGCAACAATCATGATCAATCACACAGGGAGAAAACTTCTTATAGAAAGGCATGGGTGTTGCTTGTTTCTGAAGACAGTTAAGTTAGAAGAGAGGTGATTAAAAAAAAAAGTATAAATTAATGATCATGGGAGGCTAGTGCGGAGTTGACCATTTTCTCTCACTGCAAAACCTTGGTATTCACTGTATTATTTTTAAAGGTAGTAAAAGATACAGTTTTTACAAAACACATGCTTAACTGTGAAACATGCAGTTTTAAGGAATCTTGGAGTTTAAGAAAATGATTAGTAAAGAAATTGTGCTTTTACAGAAATATGAAGAGTGTATGGAGCTGTAACTATTGACAATAAATGTTCTGTTAGGGAAATTCAGTTTCTTGCTTCTGGTTCAGAGCTAATCTATTTAGCAATGATTAAGTGCCATCTGAGTGGAGGAAGGATTTTTCTGTACTTGATCTTGCATTTTATTGCTTCTAGTGAGGCATCTGTTCCTGGCCCACTGCAAGTAGCTTCATGGACTTCAATACAAATCAGTCCAGCCAAGTTAATGTATTTCCACATGTTTTGTGACACTCTGGTTTTGCTACTGTGTACTTAGGGAGTTCCTTTTAAAGTGTGTACATTATGCTGATAGACAGTTAGAGACAAGGTAAATAGTATGAGGAACATTCAGGTATAATTCATCAGCTATGTCCCAGAAATATGGGGGATGAAGAATACTAACTGCAGAGTGATCCACAGAGTATTTCCAAAATATTCCATGTTGCCTATTTCTGAAGCAGGGGAAACAAACACATGTGCAAGTCAAATGCAGTGACAAATCTCAATGCGGTGTTCAGGGGCTCATTTGAACTACTGTTGTTTAGACCTGTGGCTGCTTAACAAGATCTCTGTAGAGGACAAAACATACTTTTGTCTTAATACCTTCTTCTTGCATCTGCAAGCATTTGGAGTCAGAATGGAAAATTGGTGGTAGCAGTGGAGAGTTTGAATACCAGTGGGAGATGTTAAGATGAGTTCTGAGTGTAAATGGGGAGGTGAAATAAGTGGAGTGAGAATGAAGGCTAACTAGTTGAGAAAAGGTGGTGTATTTTGCATTCTCCTGCTCTGTGAAGATTAATGAAGAGATCTGGCATGCAGACAAGTAATAAATCTAATTTTAATCATGATGTTAAAGGAAAAGTCTGGAAGTTGGTCTACAGGCCTAGTGTTTCTTGAGGTTGAGGATGTTTCAGTAACTAAGGTCTCTTCAGTACTATAGTTAGTCTTTGTTATTTTTGAAGCAAGAGGGAAAAGATTAGCTCAGTCTGAATTTTAAATAGTCCAGTTATCACCATCAAATAAGCATCATTCCAACAATTCATATTTGGGGTTTGAAAACAACTTTTGAAGTCAGCATGGGTCATTCCATGTCTTACTGGGGGAATCCATGTGTTGTGTGTGTGTGAAAAATAAATTGTATTGACTTGTGTATGTATGTCTGGGTGTAAGTATTGGGCTTCTAAAGCATCTAAGGTGAAATAGTGGGAGGTAAGTAAAATATCCATTTAAAAAATAAAAATGAAACCACAAGACACTCTGGCTGTAAGCCTCCTTTATCTATGTCCGGGAGACACTGACTTCCCTTCATCCACGCAGGCTTCCTTGTTCTCCGTTGCTCCTCCCAGTAGTTGCCAGGCAACTCTGGGAATATTGGTGTATGCTTTGCCTCGATGTCTGTGAGATTAACTAGTTAAGGGACTTATGAAGAAAAATAAAAACTTAAATTGCTTTTCTGGAAATACCATCTGGTATTTTGAAGGCTGAGTGTTAAAGATGAATATTCGAAATCAGTTGACAATGGCACATCCCTAGAAAGTGCAACTTTGAGGGACAGCTAACCTGAGGAAGTAGAAGAAATTGGTTTGGTTAGCATTCCATTAAAGAAAACTTGTAAACATAATTGCACAAATACATCATAAAAGCCAATTTTAATAATCAGGAAATGGAGATTCTCAGGACTTTCTTTCCCAAGTCCTTTCATAAATTAAAAATTTAATTTCTGATTATACATTTCAGTATTAAGATTTAGATAAAGAAAATTTGCAAGTGTTTTATGTTTCGCTGCTGTGCCGTACTTCGAATGCTGCACTTGAAGTAGTCTTCTGTACTCTCAAGATCATTCCATGTTCTACGCAGCAATTATATTCACTGTTATTTACTGTCAGCTGATCAGCTCAGTTTGTGGAGTTTGTAGATTATAGGTGCTCAAAGTGGTCATGATACACATCTTGTATAAATACAAAATGACGGGAGTTTCTTGTTGAATAGTGGAAGAATATTAAAGTGTATGCAGCAACTCTTTGACTGCTCTTCATTGATGTATTGCAATCCACAAAGGCCACAGTGGCTGTCATAATTTGCTTTAAAATTTTAATGTCTGTTTGGAAAAAATTATCTTGAAACTGTTACTGATGTAACAGTTGCAAATCATTTTGATGTGTCTGAGACAAATAGAAAAACATATGGAAGAAATAGCTTCTTGGAAAAGAACGTATTTTCAAATACCTCAGTTGTGTTTTTTTATCTCTTACCACCTTCACATGTCATAAATATGCAGCATAAGCAATAGCAAACATGATGTGGTTCTTTGCATTTCATGTCCTGTAACTCAAGAAACCTGACTGTTCATTTAAAATCATTGCTAGTTAGTAAAGCAATTCAAAGAAGCAGCAGCTTTTCCTCCTTTCATAGTATTTGTCTCATAAGACAATTTAATTTCATAGACCATCTCATCTGGTGTGCATTGACTTTTTGAGATAAATGATGTGAAGCTATTTTTCGTTATTCTGTGTAGGCCCAGAACGTGTCACAGAGCAGACTTTAAATTCACGTTATACTTGAGCATAGTAAGAGCTCTTACTCTGTTCAGAAGCTTTTATTCTAAAGGTCCAAGGTTATGCCATGTATGTATAAACCAGTACACCGACAATGATTGAGTTATGTTGCTGTAAACTTTCCGAGGCCTTCAGTAACTGGAACTTTTGCATGAAAAAACGTATCCAGATAATAGTCTGCAAGTCTAAAGATTTATACAACAAAATAACTGATTCAGTTACGTTTCCTACTGTGCATGTGTGTTTTGTTAGGTGCGTTAAGGCAGATTTAAGTATGAGAGTGTCTGTTACATGGGATGTACTCACAGTCTCCGCAAACCTCTCTTGCTGTGAAGCGCAGTAAAACACATCAGAAGCAGTGTGCTTACTTGGCTCCATTGAGGAAGATTGCTATCTTTGTGAATATTACCTGAATTTCAAACAGTGACACCAGTGTGAGCGTTTTGTTAGCTTGAATGACTTTTTTTAAAATTCCTGATGTTTTGCTGTTTGCAGAGGGAATGTTTTTATCATCTTTTGAATATTTAATTCTCAGAAGCAGGTCATCTTCAGCAGAAATAGCTGTGTAATGACTTGGCGTGCGTTGAGGTGGTTTGTGGCCCTTCACAGCTGCGCGTAGGTTGGTGGCTGGGGACACACACACACAGACACACACAGACACACACAGAGACACACACACAGAGACACACACACACAGACACACACACACACACACACACAGACACACACACACACACACACACACACAGAGACACACACACAGAGACACACA